CCCCAAAACCCCAAAACCCCAAAACCCCAAAACCCCACGAACTTAAATCTCTTTATAAGTCGTGAAATTTGAAATGTTAATTCAAAAAATTAAATGTATAATGATAAAATAAGTTCTAAATAAATTTACACTAGATTTAAAATTTGAGCTAAAAGGACTCTCTATGAATCCAATCTCAATCATTTTAAACCTGTGTCTTCAGCCATTACTTTCTCTATCAAATGGCTAAATATGGTGTCTCTGTCTAAAAACTATAACTATTAGTTTGTTTATGGTTGCCTAATTCTATCCTAGATTGTCTGAAAACCTACTATATCAAATTGACTCCTATTTCCTAAAAAACTTCTTATGATTTCTATGTCATTCCTCTATAAATCCTAAAACTCCCTTACAAGATCATTACTCAGATGTTGCCCTGAATAAAAGTCTTCCTAAGGAGATATACTGTCTTACCTATCGAGCGTTGTAGTGCTAGATTCCTAATTCTATTATTTTTGTACAATTTAAACTTCAAAGTTAGTAAAATCGCAGCTATGTCTTTTTTGGATTTGTATCTAGTCATCCTCAATTTGTGCTTATTATTATTAAGTGGGGTTGAACAAATGGAAGTTTCTATACAAATTTTCAAGAAATCTAAAAATATTATTTTGACCTAAATTACGGGATTCTTTTCTTATTATTTATGAAATTCTAACTTCTATGCTTCTTCTTTAATATTCTGCCTTAATCTTTCATCAGTTTGACAATGGATTTTGCAGTACTGTAATTGATGTCACATTTTTTGGCCGCCTATATAATACATATTTAATAAATTTAATCATTTTTGACGTGGGTTAAGGCAATCAAAGTATTCAATGCAAGATGAATTACCTCTTTGATTGTTGTATCTCCTTAAGATAGGATATTCATAAATCTCAGTCTTTAAGAATCACTTGTCACACTATACTTTTTCTTCTCTTCTAGTGTATTATTTCCAAAATTTAAATGACTTTAGTCTGGAAATTTCTACACCTGGTTCCATTAGTATGAAGAATGTGATTGGGGTTCACTATGCATTAGGATTGGAGACAGGACAGGATTTTCACTTGAATAAACTAGTTCTGAATTTAGAGCATGACCCTGTTCGTCTTGAATAACATCAAAGACATTCCCTGCAGTTTAGCTATCGTGATTCTTATTTTAGTAGACAAAGAAAGAACGCATCTTTTTATCAATTTAAGTTGCCAAATTTAATTAATATACCAAGAAAGTTTTTTCTTTAGTTTTATTGAGAAATAACATCACGTACTTATACATTAATAGCTTAAAGTTCAAATTGTTTTAATCCGTATTTTAAACCTCAGTCTAGGGGTTTTGGGGTTTTGGGGTTTTGGGGTTTTGGGGTTTTGGGG